TACTGGTACATTTAACACTGCCCCCCAACTGGCAATGCTGCTGTCTGCTGTGCCCCCTGTGCTCATTCTGTGTCTGTGTCTCACTATTACAGGAGGTGTGTTACTAGCCAGATCACCAGATGAAAATAGAGTGGAAAAAAACAAAGAAAAGAAAACTGATGCAGCCATCACATCTAATGATTGGCAAACTGCAGTATATTACATTTTTGGTTTTGGGCTTAGTACCACTTTAAGCTGGCTATAGATGTGTAGAATTTTGATCAAAAATTGTAAGGAAAAAAAAGGTTCTAAGAAAGTTTGCTTGTTTTTATAATCATTAATGGGGTCAGATTGATGTTTGTTTTGAACTTTTTTTCTCGAACGAATGAATTTCTGAGTGTACTTGGTTTTCATTCAGAAAAGGCTGTTCATTCCAAAATCAAATGTTAAAAGCTGTTCTGCCTCTAATCTAAGTACTGTAAGTGGAATCTCTAAGCACTGCAAGTGCGATGTCCTACTCACAGCCTCAGTTGTGTTAGCAGACAGTGACACGATCCAAATGACATTCAGCAGATCATAGAAAGTTTTTACTCCAAAACTGGTGAAGATTGTACAGATGAGCATCAGTTAGGTCCAAAAAAATTGTTGTATGTGTATAGTTCCAGCAGGATACAGTACATATGAAGAATGAAAAAGGAGACTGGTCACCAGGAAAAAAACAGGGCTGAATTTCCCCTATGGAGACACAGACAGCAATAAAACTTGACAGAGCATATGACCCTCCCCCTCTCTTTCCAAAGTAAAAATAAGAAAGGTTTTCTGCCTAGAGATACACTTTAATTGTCCCTGTCATACTCACCTGTTCCATGCCCCTGCGTTGGGTCTTTCCCTTTGTGTGCAGCCTCCAGCTTCCTGCTTCCTGCACCACAGTCATCAACAGATGGTGGGCTGTCATAAAACGGTGTTAAACCAAAAATAAAAAATGTAATATATTGCAGTTTACCGGTCATTAGATGTGGCTGCAGCAATATTCTTTTCTTTGGCTTTTTCCCTCTGTTTTTCACCTGGTGATCTGGCCAGTAACACACCTTCTGTTTTAGTAAGACACCACCTTAGAGGAATGAGCCAGGGCACATCAGGGAGCACCACTGTCAGTCTGGGGGGGAGGGACGTGTAAATGTATTAGCAGTTTTCAATACAAATAACAATTTGAAACCAAACCTAAGCTAAAGCCTGCCATAGACAGTTCGAATCTCGGCCAGTACAGCAGGGAAAGGCCAAGATTCAAATTATGTATGGGCAGGCTGAATGTATCCAAGCTGATCGATCAACTTGTGGTACAACCAGCCTGATGTAATATACATGGCTATTATAGGCGGAGACGGCCACCCCCACCCCCCTTCCCCGTGGGGAGAAAACGGTGGCTCTACGGGAGGGATTCCCCTATCAACACTGAGGCCTTCGTTCACACTAGTGTGGGCCATGTGGCCTACATTTGCTTGGGCACGGCAGCCCATTCATTTGAAAGGGCTGCTGTTTTGCGTGAACCACACAAAAATGGTGAATGCACCTTTTTAAAAATGCAGCTGCAGGGAAACCGCATGGTCTTTTTGATGCACCGCAGTGCAGCCTGAGATGCGTAGGGGTGTTATTCAGAATGAAGGGCACCACTGCATGTCTTGCAAGAGCAGCGTGGTTCAGCTTCGAGTGGTTGCATCAATCAATGTGATTCCCGCACCCGCAAACAGAATGCACGGTGTGAACAAGCCCTCACTGTGTTAATGGTGAAATCATTTTTTACTGAAACCACAAGTTGCTCCATCTATGGCCGGCATAACACTTTATAATCAGTTACAGTTTTTCTTCCTTTTGGGATAAAGGTTTTACATGAATAAATATAAGCTGATTTTTGTAAGCAGCCCTGTCAGTGTTAAATGCATGGCCTCAACCATGTAAGCTGATACAGTCTGCTGGAGAGTTTGAGTTTTTGAGCAGCAGAGTTGCTGGCTGAATCACCAGATGAAAATAAAAGAAAGAAAGCCAAAAAAGGAAACTAATGCAGCTATCACAACTAAGAATTGGTAAGCTCCATAAAATTAATGTTTGCTTTTTGGTTTAGCACTACTTTAACTACTTCCCTGCATGGACCATTCTGGTAGTCCTCTCCTACATGTAAAAATCATAATTTTTTTGCTGGAAAATTACTTTTTAAGCAAAGAACCTAGAGAATAAATTGGCGAGTGTTGCAATGTTTTCTTGTCACACAATATTTGCTCAGCGGTTGGTTTTTTAAATGCAAACTTTTTGGAAAAATACACTTTAATGAATTTTAGTGCACATAAACACAATATTATACCCATTTTTTTAATAAAATATAAAAATTGATGTTATGCTGAGTAAATAGAAACCTAACATGTCACGCTTTAAAATTGTGTACACCCGTAGAATGGTGCCAAACTACAGTGCTTATCTCGTAAAAGTCTTTACAGATGATCAGTTTAGAGTTGCACAGGTATAGTGCTAGAATTACTGCTCTCACTCTGAGGTTCGCAGTGATACCTCACATGGGTAGTGCAAACACCATTTACATATGCGTGTAGGACGTACATATGTGTTCACCTTTGCATGTGAGCACAGGTGGGCAGGGGCGCTTTAATTTTTTAAAATGTTTATCTTAAATTTTTTTTTACGCCCCTCCAGCGCTCACTGGAGCTCTGGGCTATGGAGGGGGCAGTTGTGTCTCGTCGAGAAGCTGAGCCAGCTGTAGGTCAGGCATCTGGGTGGATACTGGCATTAAATTCACAATCGCTCCAGAGTCTGGACTGGCTGAGTGACGTCTGCCAACAGTGGACTTTATAGTCCACTGTCAGCTGAATATGGGTCACAGGAGTGTAGGATGAAGTGCCCAACTGTGAACAACAGGAAAAGTATAGCAAAAAGGGCTTCTTTAAACAGGTAAAGAATCCTTTGAGATTTGAGTATTTGGAACAGTGACTCTGTACAAGTGTTCTGCAAATTGCTGTAACATTGCTTTAGCAACGTAAAGGATAAACAAACTTTTTTTGCTACCCAAAATCGGTTTCTATGCATACAGTCAGGTCCATAAATATTGGGACACATCGACACAATTCTAACATTTTTGGCTCTATACACCACCACAATGGATTTGAAATGAAACAAACAAGATGTGCTATAACTGCAGACTGTCAGCTTTAATTTGAGGGTATTTACATTCAAATCAGGTGAACGGTGTAGGAATTACAACAGTTTGCATATGTGCCTCCCACTTATTAAGGGATCAAAAGTAATGGGACAATTGGCTTCTCAGCCGTTCCATGGCCAGGTGTGTGTTATTTCCTCATTATCCCAATTACAATGAGCAGATAAAAGGTCCAGAGTTCATTTCAAGTGTGCTATTTGCATTTGGAATCTGTTGCTGTCAACTCTCAAGATGAGATCCAAAGAGCTGTCACTATCAGTGAAGCAAGCCATCATTAGGCTGAAAAAACAAAACAAACCCATCAGAGAGATAGCAAAAAACATTAGGCGTGGCCAAAACAACTGTTTTTAACATTCTTAAAAAGAAGGAACGCACCGGTGAGCTCAGCAACACCAAAAGACCCGGAAGACCACAGAAAACAACTGTGGTGGAAGACCGAAGAATTTTTTCCCTGGTGAAGAAAACACCCTTCACAACAGTTGGCCAGATCAAGAACACTCTCCAGGAGGTAGGTGTATGTGTGTCAAAGTCAATAATCAAGAGAAGACTTCACCAGAGTGAATACAGAAGGTTCACCACAAGATGTAAACCATTGGTGAGCCTCAAAAACAGGAAGGCCAGATTAGAGTTTGCCAAACGACATCTAAAAAAGCCTTCAAAGTTCTGGAACAACATCCTATGGACAGATGAGACCGAGATCAACTTGTACCAGAGTGATGGGAAGAGAGAGTATGGAGAAGGAAAGGAACTGCTCATGATCCTAAGCATAGCACCTCATCAGTGAAGCATGGTGGTGGTAGTGTCATGGCGTGGGCATGTATGGCTGCCAATGGAACTGGTTCTCTTGTATTTATTGATGATGTGACTGCTGACAAAAGCAGCAGGATGAATTCTGAAGTGTTTCGGGCAATATTATCTGCTCATATTCAGCCAAATGCTTCAGAACTCATTGGACGCCGCTTCACAGTGCAGATGGACAATGACCCAAAGCATACTGCAAAAGCAACCAAAGAGTTTTTTTAAGGGAAAGAAGTGGAATGTTATGCAATGGCCAAGTCAATCACCTGACCTGAATCCGATTGAGCATGCATTTCACTTGCTGAAGACAAAACTGAAGGGAAAATGCCCCAAGAACAAGCAGGAACTGAAGACAGTTGCAGTAGAGGCCTGGCAGAGCATCACCAGAGATGAAACCCAGCGTCTGGTGATGTCTATGTGTTCCACACTTCAGGCTGTAATTGACTGCAAAGGATTTGCAACCAAGTATTAAAAAGTGAAAGTTTGATTTATGATTATTATTCTGTCCCATTACTTTTGGTTCCTTAACCTCCCTGGCGGTATGATTATTTCAGATTTTTGGTGCTGAAAGCGGTACCATTTTTTTGCATGGAAATATGTATTTTTTTTATTGTAGGCTGTAATTTTTAGGAAAAACTCACTGAAATCTGTCCGAACAAGAGTCTAGTAAACATCCCGGGTATGATAAAATTTGAAACACAAAATCATAAATTATAATTTAATAAATAATCATAAAAATAATATAAAAATAATAAAAAATTTAATTCAATAATATAATCAAACCAAAAACACTGAAATGTGAAATAGAGCGCCAAGTTCGCACATTGCTGAGCTCAGTCGCAAAATCGTTTTCAGTGTCTGATGACGAATTTCCCCCACGAATCATTATCACTCAATTCTGCAAGTGGTTCTGATTTACTATCGCTGTTCTCTAGCTGATCTAAACCGCTTTTGACCTAAAGGGACACTTTTTGGACGCCATGGACATTTCTCAGTTTCCAGGCAGAAAGAACAGACAAAATGCAGGCAGGGCGCAGGACAAAGCACTAGGGACAATATGTATGTGAAATTGGTTGAGACAGCAATGTTTTACTATGTAAAGTGTAAAAAAAAAAAATGACATTTTTTAAAATTTTTAAATTTCCCACCGCCGGTGGCGGCGGCGCCCGTACGTCCCGACGTCACAGGGACAGGACACAGAAGCCGGATGCCGGCATCGGCCGGAGGAGATGGCCGGGGACGCTGCAGGGGACACATCGTGGGAGCGCAGGGTAAGGTAAGTGAAGAACACATGCCGGAGCAGTGCCGCAGGGTAAGCCCGAGTGTAGCTCGGGGTTACCGCTTTTGGTACTGAAATGTTACCCCGAGCTACACTCGGGAATACCGCCAGGGAGGTTAATAAGTGGGAGGCACATATGCAAACTGTTGTAATTCCTACACCGTTCATCTGATTTGGATGTAAATACCCTCAAATTAAAGCTGACAGTCTGCAGTTAAAGCTCATCTTGTTCGTTTCATTTCAAATCTATTGTGGTGGTGTATAGAGCCAAAAATGTTAGAATTGTGTCGATGTCCCAATATTTATGGACCTGACTGTATGTATAATTTTATCAAAAATTCAATAGACAGCTTAGAGAGAGAGTGTTTAAAGCAGTAGTAAATCACAAAAAATAAAACAAAAAAATCTTCTCCCATTAAGGTAAGAGCATAATGTGTTAGTATGCATAGCACACTAGCACATTGTGAGAGACTTACCGGAAAGCAAAACCGTCTTCACCCCCCGTGTATCCCAACTACAGTTCTGTAGCTGCTTCTCTAAAAGATGAACTCTGTGGTCGGATGCGATGTGCATATGAAATCAGAAAGGGCAACAGGATAGTGCTCTCAGTATACAAAATTTATTAGACTAGAAGATAAAAACATACTGACAAAGTTTGGTACTGTCCACCAGTAGAGGCAAAAAAGCGCTATATCACAGTCAATGGCAGAGTTGGATAGCCCGTCATCGGCAAGGTTCCAGTCCCGCACATCGCTTCCCACCATGGAGTTCATCTTCCGGCGTAGCAGCTACACCAGCTGTATTTGGGATTCACCCCTGAGGGGACCACTTGTTTTGACTTACCTGTTAGTTCATGGGTCATACTTAGAGATGAGCGAATCGAACTTGGCGAAGTGGAATTCGTTTCGAATATTAGGAAAAATTCGATTCGCGCCGAATCCGAAAATTAGCAGACTTCGGATGCGCGAATCGAAATTTTTCCAAAAATGGCGGCGACATGTGTGGCGACGGAGCGGGGATCTCTGGGAAGGCGCGCAGACAGGGCGCGCTGACCCATAATGCATTCATTCATGACATGTGATCGCATTAGCCAATCAGCAGCCAGCCAGCCAGCACTGTGTAATGGTGGAGCTATAAATTGCGGCCATCTTACAATTCTCCATTTGCCTCCGGTCACTCAAGAGAGACAGACCTCTCTGTATTAGGGACAGAGTTAGGGCCACAGATACTTTAGGGACACAGAATCGTTACTTAGGGACACAGAATTGTTACTCAGGGACACAGAATTGTTACTCAGGGACACAGAACTGTTACTCAGGGACAGACACAGAATTGTTACTGAGGGACACAGAATTGTTACTGAGGGACACAGAATTGTTACTGAGGGACACAGAATTGTTAGTCAGGGACACAGAACTGTTACTCAGGGACACAGAACTGTTACTCAGGGACACAGAACTGTTACTCAGGGACAGACACAGAATTGTTACTGAGGGACACAGAATTGTTACTCAGGGACAGACACAGAATTGTTACTGAGGGACACAGAACTGTTACTCAGGGACACAGAACTGTTATTCAGGGACACAGAACTGTTACTCAGGGACAGACACAGAATTGTTACTGAGGGACACAGAATTGTTACTGAGGGACACAGAATTGTTACTGAGGGACACAGAATTGTTACTCAGGGACACAGAACTGTTACTCAGGGACACAGAACTGTTACTCAGGGACACAGAATTGTTACTCAGAGACAGACACAGAATTGTTACTGAGGGACACAGAATTGTTACTGAGGGACACAGAATTGTTACTGAGGGACACAGAATTGTTACTCAGGGACACAGAACTGTTACTCAGGGACACAGAATTGTTACTCAGGGACACAGAACTGTTACTCAGGGACACAGAATTGTTACTCAGGGACAGACACAGAATTGTTACTGAGGGACACAGAATTGTTACTCAGGGACACAGAATTGTTACTCAGGGACACAGAACTGTTACTCAGGGACACAGAATTGTTACTCAGGGACACAGAACTGTTACTCAGGGACACAGAACTGTTACTCAGGGACAGACACAGAATTGTTACTGAGGGACACAGAATTGTTACTGAGGGACACAGAATTGTTACTCAGGGACAGACACAGAATTGTTACTGAGGGACACAGAACTGTTACTCAGGGACACAGAACTGTTACTCAGGGACACAGAACTGTTACTCAGGGACAGACACATAATTGTTACTCAGGGACACAGAATTGTTACTGAGGGACACAGAATTGTTACTGAGGGACACAGAATTGTTAGTCAGGGACAGACACAGAATTGTTACTGAGGGACACAGAACTGTTACTCAGGGACACAGAACTGTTACTCAGGGGCACAGAACTGTTACTCAGGGACACAGAACTGTTACTCGGGGACACAGAATTGTTACTCAGAGACACAGAACTGTTACTCAGGGACACAGAATTGTTACTCAGGGACAGACACAGAATTGTTACTGAGGGACACAGACTTGTTACTGAGGGACACAGAATTGTTACTGAGGGACACAGAATTGTTACTGAGCGACACAGAATTGTTACTCAGGGACACAGAACTGTTACTCAGGGACACAGAATTGTTACTCAGGGACACAGAACTGTTACTCAGGGACACAGAACTGTTACTCAGGGACAGACACAGAATTGTTACTAAGGGACGCAGAATTGTTACTGAGGGACACAGAATTGTTACTCAGGGACACAGAACTGTTACTCAGGGACACAGAACTGTTACTCAGGGACACAGAATTGTTACTCAGGGACAGACACAGAATTGTTACTGAGGGACACAGAATTGTTACTGAGGGACACTGAATTGTTACTCAGGGACACAGAATTGTTACTGAGGGACACAGAATTGTTACTCAGGGACACAGAATTGTTACTCAGGGACACAGAATCGTTGAATTAAAGAGTATGTCAGACAACACGCAGAGGAGTGGCAGAGGAGGCAATGTTTCAGGAGCGAGCAGACGTGGCAGCAGAGGAAGGGGTCGAGGCAGCACTAGTCGCAGCCAGAGGCCAGTGCTCCCGGTGTCATCCAGTGGTCGTGTCTCCACCGACAACCCCTGCCGTCATCGATTGGTTGGCTCGGTCGTCTTCCTCTTCCCAGGTCACCTCTGACACCTACAGCCAACGGTCGGTGGGTACGTACGTCAGACACAACCATTAGTTGGCATGGCCCGGGAGCAAGCCCACTGAAATCACGTGTCCTCTACCTGCCCCTGTCCTTTGGTGTTCCCTCACCAAGCGAAGTATCGCATGCTGTGGGCTCAGCCTCACTGTACAGTGAGGAAGAGCTAACAGAGGACGGTCAGGAACGGGGGGAGACATCCGCCTCTTCAGCAGCCAGGCGAAGAAGTAGTGGTGAGGAGAGTGGCTCGGTAGCCGGTCTAGAGACAGGTCTGTCTCCTAACCCACACACACAGCCGAGGGGGCTAGTAGTGAGGCGGAGACCCTAATTGATGATGATGAGGCTGATCGCACTTGGCAGCCTCGTCGTCATCAGGCTATTGCTTCCGCATCATCAGGAGAAGAGGGTGCCAGCTTGGCAGCGAGCAAAACAGTCGGTGGGTTGCCCAGGAGGCAGCAGGGTCGCAGCAGTGTCAGTGGAGGCAAACGGCCACGGAGTAGAGCACCAGCTCCACTGCTGGTGGGTTCCATTTTGTCATAGGGTGCTGGCAGATTACGGGCCTCCCATTGCTGCTGCCAGGCCCGTAATCTGCCATGGGCCCCTGTACCGCCTCCTCATGCTGCTGCCAGGTCCAGAGTGTGTCATGGGTCCCTGTACGGCCTCCCATTGCTGCTGCTGTCTCCATCGCCACACTCTGCCATGTGCCACTTTCAGGTCTCCTCACACTGCTGGTGGGTTTCATTTTGTCATAGGGTGCTGGCAGATTACGGGCCTCCCATTGCTGCTGCCAGGCCCGTAATCTGCCATGGGCCCCTGTACCGCCTCCTCATGCTGCTGCCAGGTCCAGAGTGTCTCATGGGTCCCTGTACGGCCTCCCATTGCTGCTGTCTCCATCGCCACACTCTGCCATGTGCCACTTTCAGGTCTCCTCACACTGCTGGTGGGTTCCATTTTGTCATAGGGTGCTGGCAGATTACGGGCCTCCCATTGCTGCTGCCAGGCCCGTAATCTGCCATGGGCCCCCGTACCGACTCCTCATGCTGCTGCCAGGTCCAGAGTGTTTCATGGGTCCCTGTACGGCCTCCCATTGCTGCTGTCTCCATCGCCACACTCTGCCATGTGCCACTTTCAGGTCTCCTCACACTGCTGGTGGGTTCCATTTTGTCATAGGGTGCTGGCAGATTACGGGCCTCCCATTGCTGCTGCCAGGCCCGTAATCTGCCATGGGCCCCCGTACCGACTCCTCATGCTGCTCCTAGGCCCGTAATCTGCCATGGGCCCCTGTACCGCCTCCTCATGCTGCTGCCAGGTCCAGAGTGTGTCATGGGTCCCTGTACGGCCTCCCATTGCTGCTGTCTCCATCGCCACACTCTGCCATGTGCCACTTTCAGGTCTCCTCACACTGCTGGTGGGTTCCATTTTGTCATAGGGTGCTGGCAGATTACGGGCCTCCCATTGCTGCTGCCAGGCCCGTAATCTGCCATGGGCCCCCATACCGACTCCTCATGCTGCTGCCATGCCCGTAATCTGTCATGGGCCCCTGTACTGCCTCCTCATGCTGCTGCCAGGTCCAGAGTGTCTCATGGGTCCCTGTACGGCCTCCCATTGCTGCTGTCTCCATCGCCACACTCTGCCATGTGCCACTTTCAGGTCTCCTCACACTGCTGGTGGATTCCATTTTGTCATAGGGTGCTGGCAGATTACGGGCCTCCCATTGCTGCTGCCAGGCCCGTAATCTGCCATGGGCCCCTGTACCGCCTCCTCATGCTGCTGCCAGGTCCAGAGTGTCTCATGGGTCCCTGTACGGCCTCCCATTGCTGCTGTCTCCATCGCCACACTCTGCCATGTGCCACTTTCAGGTCTCCTCACACTGCTGGTGGGTTCCATTT